AGCGGCCGTCTTATAATACTAATTACAGGTACCCCCCCTCTGCTCCAGGGCGCAGGGGCGCAGATTCGCCGTGCACCACCTTTAATTAATATTATACTAGGAATAGAAGCGGCGAGCCCGCGATCGCCGATCTGTGTCGTTTTCTAAGGTCCGGCGCCCAACCGCGGCGGTTCCACGACGGTTCCACGACGGTTCCGAGAGGTTGACATGTCACGAAACCTTATGAATTCACAAGTTTCCACGACGGTTCCACGACAGCTCCGACGTCGCAAGTGTGACGACACCCTATGAACTCACAGGGTTCCACGACGGTTCCACGACGGTTCCACGACGGTTCCGACGTCGCAAGTGTGACGAAACCATATGAATTCACATGGTTCCACAACGGTTCCACGACGGTTCCACGACGGCTCCGACGTCGCACGTGCGACGAAATCATATGAATCACAAGGTTCCTGCTTGGTTCCATGCTGGGTCCACGATGGTTCCGACGCCGCCAGTGTGACGAAACCTTATGAATTCACAAGGTTCCTGCTTGGTTCCACGCTGGTTCCACGATGGTTCCGACGCTGCAAGTGTGACGGGACCTGGTGAATCCACAAGGTTCCTGCGTTCCCAAAGAAAGCGCGCTCGCGCGCTGTCGCACCTGTTCGAATTTCTAATGTTGCGTTCTTTTTTCCAATAGACATCTGCCGAGGGCACGTGAAGACCCCTCCTGGGGCCTTCAGCGACTCGGGATCACCGACGCCACGGCCTCGGCGGCAAGGACAGGCGGTCGGGATCCCAGTGGAGGCCGCTGCCTCCCGAGTTGTTGAAGGTACTTGGGGGGCGGCCGTCGCGTGCCCTCGGCTGGTGTCACCCAGGGGGGGTCCATGTGACTCAGTGCGAGTGAGCCCCAGCGCGGGGCGAGTGGGCTGGGTTCGAACGCGAACGAGTCTGGATATGAGTGGGCCCGGGTCTACGTAGGTCTGTGCGTGAGTGAGCCCTGGGGGAGTGCATGTGAATGAGCGTGCGTCTGATCACGGGTGCATCTGAGCATGAGTGCGTCTGCGCATTAGCGTGGTCTCAACGTGAAGAAGGTGCGTGGGTGTGAGCAAGTATGGTTACGAGTGGGTCTAGCCGTCAGCGGCCGAGCAGGAACGGGTCTGGGCGCGAGTGGGTCTAGGAAATTAATATTAATTGTCATGGTGCCCCTGTGCTCCAGGGCGCAGATGCGCCGTGCACCGCCTTTAGTTAATATAATAATAGGAGTAGGGGCGGCGAACTGTAGCACCCCTGGCACCCCTGCTCTCTTCCTCCTGGCACCCCTCCTCTCTTCCTCCTCGCCCCCCCTGGCACCCCTCCTCTCCTCCTCCTCGCTGTCCGTAGCCGCCTTGGCCCTGGCCTCTCGCGCGCGGCGCCGGGCGCCCCCTGGCCTCGCGACATGTCGGAGCAGGCAGCGCTGAGCAGGGCGTGGTTCGCGGGCAAGGACGGTGGCCTCTGCGGCCGCGAGCAAGCGCGGGCGTGGGCGCTCCGCGAGGTGTGGCGCGAGGAGGGGAAGAGCGACTACGGCGCGATGTCCTTCGTGGCCAGCCGCGTGAGGAAGACGAAGGCCGGGAAGCCCTCCGGCGACCATCCTACATCGCAGTCCATCAAGGAGTTCTTCGAGCGCGTGGATGCCGACCCCGAGTGGCACCCTGGGAAATTAGCAGAGGGGGGGCTCCGCGGCCGGAAGCGCGTCCTGCGGGGCCCGAAGCAGACCGCCATTGTGGCGGCGGCGAAGCGTCTGAAGAAGCAAGGCGAGGAGCCCACGTGCGCCGCTATCGTGGCCGCGTGCCCGACGGCTGTCCTGAACCCCGACACGGAGCAGCCCGTGGACAAGAAGGCAGTCTACGCTGTATTCCGGGAGGCTTGCTTTGATGAAGGAGCAGACGATCCATGGGATAACAGGCCGCGCCTGTCGCGGAACGCGCTGGGCGACGTGTCCAAGCGGAGGCGGTGGGATTTCGCGAAGCACGTGATATCTCTGTCGCACAGGCCGCAGTGGTACTACGACAATCTCGCGTGGTGCGACCTCTGCAACTCTGTCCTCCCTCGGACTCAGAAGAAGGCGCAAGACATGGCGCTTGCGCGAAAGGGGAGGAAAGGATGGATGAGCAAAGGCTCTCAGGCGCAATCGCAGAACCTCCGCGGCCCCAAACACCACCTCAAGTTGAATAGCTCTGACACGGTGCGGGCGTGGTGGGGCCCGGTCCTCACGCGCGGGAAGCTCCACATCGAGCCGCTGCCTGGCGATTTCCATGGGGAGACCCCGCTGGGGGCCGAGATCATGGTGGCGAAGGTGCGATCTGCTCTGAATGTGCGTTTTCCCGGGGGCGGCCGGCAGCCTCGCGTGCTCTTCACGGACCATGGGAACGGCTTCTACAACGCTGGCTCAGGGGCAATCACCGTGGAGTACCGCGGGGCGTTGAGGCGCCACAACCTGAGGGCATTTTTTCCTGCGGACGCTTCTGTGCAGCCTGGCCAGCTCCAGGAGGTCATGCTCCACGAGACCGCGGTGTCGTGGATGCGGGACAGGCTCACGAAAACGCTCCCGAAACGGTGCTGGGAGGAGACCCTGGAGGCGTACCGCGCCCGGCTGAAGGCCTGCGCGGCGCAGATCAACAGCGCCTGTGACGTCGACGGCCTGTGCCGCGAGCTGCCGTCCAGGGTAAAGGACCTGGACCGCCGCCAGGGAGACCGCCTCGCCAAGTGATGCGGTTCGCTGAAAAATAGCGCGTGCCCAATTTAAGGAAACTTTCGCACCTGTCTGATGGGGCCACGGAGCCGCGCTGCGTGGGCCACTGGGGCCATCGGTGGAGCTCCCCATGGGGCCACGAAGCGCTGTGCTGGATGGGGAAGACGCATGTGGACACCGCCATCTGGGCCTTAGGTGGAGCTCCCCATGGGGCCACGAAGCGCTGTGCTGGGTAGGGGAGACGCATGCGGGCAATGCCACTCGTGTCTTGGGTGGACCTCCTTATGGGGCCACGAAACGCTTTGCTGTGTGGGGGAGACGCATGTCGACACCGAAATCTGGGCCTTGGATGGAGCTCCCCATGGGGCCACGAAGCGTTGTGCGGGGTGGGGGAAACGCATGTGGACACCGCCAACGGGGCCTTCAGTGAAGCTCCCCGTGGGGAAACGCTGTGCTGTGTGGGGGAGACGCATGTGGACACCGCCACTGGGGCCATAGGTGGAGATCCCCATGGGGCCACGAAGCGCTGTGCTGGGTGGGGGAGACGCATGTGGACACGGCCACTCGGGCCTACAGTGGAGCTCCCCATGGGGCCACACAACGCTTTGCTGTGTGTAGGGGAAACGCATGTGGACATCGCCACTGGGGCCTACTGAAGCTCCCCGTGGGGAGCGCTGTGCTGTGTGGGGGAGACGCATGTGGACACCGCCACTGGGGCCATAGGTGGAGGTCCCCATGGGGCCACGAAGCGCTGTGCTGAGAGGGGGAGACGCATGTGGACACTGCCACTGGTGCCTTGGATGGAGCTCCCCATGGGGCCACGAAGCGTTGTGCTGGGTGGGGGAGACGCATGTGGACACCGACATTGGGGCCTTCAGTGGAGCTCCGTACGAGGCCACGAAACGCTGTGCTTCGTGGGTGAGACGCATGTGGACACCGCCACTGGGGCCTTCAGTGAAGCTCCCCATGGGGCCACGAAGCGCTGTGCTGCGTGAGGGAGACGCATGTGGACACCGCCACTGGGGCCGTCGGTGTAGCTCCCCATGGGGCCACGAAGCGCTGTGCTGGGAGGGGAGACGACGACGAAGACATGCGGAGGGCAGAGGCAGGGATGGGAGGAGGGAGGAGGGGGAGGAGGAAGGGAGGAAAGAAGGAAGGAAGGAACGCGGGGCGCTGTCTCTTTAAAACGAGGACCCAACACCACAGGATGGTTGGGAAAAATGATCCCAATACTATGTTTGTTTGACTATTTTTTGATACTTTCCTGTAGAGGGACAGGCCCGCCCTAAGACCAGTCGCGAAGGCATAAAGGTGGAGTGGTGAGCTTCGAGCAAAGCAGCTCTGGACGGCCCGGAGGGCAATCTCAGCCTCAAGCTGGGTTCGCTCCCTGAGCCCACCTTGGGCTGACCCCCCTTCTGCGTGCCCTCGAACACACTGACCCTGGGTCCAGAGATGGGCTTGGCCAGGATCGGTGTAGGTTTAGGTTGGGCATGTCCTCCTGCAGGCGGATTTTGGACGGAAAATCAAAAAGAGCCAAAAATATTCAAGAACAACCAGAAATAGTCCAGAAGATTTTCCTCCTGCGGAGGGACATGCCCGACTTCAGTGTAGGTGTGCACAATTGGCGCCCTCCGAACCAGGAGTGATGTAGCCGCAGGTGTGTGCGCACGGAGGCTCCCAGCTCAAACGTCCCTGGCTACCTGGCGGCTGACTCCCTGCCCAGCCCCCCCGCTACTAGCCCAGTCCCCGAAGGCTCCTGGTGCATCGGGGAGCATTGGGAAAACACGTGTGGAACCCGTACCCCGCACCCCCACCCGAAATTGGGGTCTCCGGGTTGGGTTGGAGTGGTCTGGTAGGGAGTCAGTGAGTTCTAGGCCTCCTGGATGGCCTCGGTGACCAAAAGATGCCGACACAAGGCAGAGCCTTGACCTGGGCATGCACTGCGGAACATCCGCTGTGGCCAGACGGCAAGATGGGCCCCGGGGCAGCACTCTCGTGTCCTGGACCGGAGGAGCGCCGTGACACAAGAACAGTCTGGCGCGTTCCCCTACTCGCAAAGTAACTACTCGCAAATGGCCTGGATCAGCCGCGGGGGATCGACGATACATGTCATCGAAACAAACATAAGTTGTTTCGGACGTTTGCGAGTAGGCACTTTGCGAGTAATGGAACGCGCTCGGTGATTGACGGTCCTCGAGCCCAGGACTGGCCCCGGGAGACTGAAAAGGGCGAAAGACCTCGCCAGGACCCTCTTCCTTCATGCTGAGGAGGCCCAGAAGGAAGCCTGCGGGCACGCCGTGGAAGTAGGGATGCCGTCGGGGCTCTCCGAGAACCCCTCCTCGGACTGCTGCTCCTGCGCGGGGTCATGGAAACACAGCCCTGCCAGACAACCGAATCTACCTGAGAAGTGTAGACGATCGGACAGGAAATTGGCACGCTCGCGTGCACATAATCATCATACGGCGGGGGCATTGGATAAGGAAACCTGATATAAGGAATCCAGGGTCTGGAGGCTGGTGGAACTCCAATCGAAACTTGCCATGGATAACACCGCCGCCCTCATGAGATAAGGAATCCGTCTGCAGCATCCTGGGCGCATTCCTCAACCAACGCCCCCACCGTATCTTCATGCTCTCGTGCGCATCATCCTCTGAATGGAGAGGAACACACATTCTGTCGCTGGCTGTCGTTGGAGGAGCCGCTCAGGGTAACAGCGCCACTCCGACCAGGCAGTGTGGCCGGCGCTGGGGCGAGAGCCAAAGCGACTCAGACCAGCCATGGTACAGTCGGGGCGTTGACCTAAGGAACCCGAAATAAGGAACGAGGCCCCTTTTTTCCATAAGCTAACCTTCGATTTCCTGTCGGAAACATAAGGAAAGCCTGAGGCAAGCTGCGAAACACTTAAGGAACGCGGAGCCCCTCCCCAGCGAAAAGAGTTCCCTCTTCCGGGCCCCGACTGTACTGCCCATCACGGAGTGGCGCGCGCGGATGATCTTGAGCCGGAAATCTGGCGGGCATGCGGGCGAGAACGTCG